TAGCCCCTGGCACATTTGAGAATATGACTTTCAAAGAAATCTGGCTTTCTGGTATAGCTTTCCTAGGTGTAAGTTATAGCAAACCTCTAAGTGATGTCTTCTTGCAATTCTTTCTCCCTTTCATTTTTAAAGCTATGTTGGTAATTTCTGTGTAATGTCTCACTTTCCAGTTGTTTAACCTTTCTCTTGGCAGGAGGGAATTGGGTTTTGTTTGTTTAATGAGGAGAGTTGTTAGAAACGCCTGCCTCAGATGTCTTGTATCGTTACATTCAGTTCATGCTAAGATCATAAGTATTCTGAATCTTAAATTAGGCACCGTCTCAGTCAGAGGTTAGTACTTACACATTTATCATTAGGTTAGTATAAACTAAAGGAAGGGGAAGAAAAGCCCCTCATGGGGCTGAGGTTGGACTATGTTCTCATAGGAGTTCTAAACCATTTTTGGTAACTGTCATTTTCCAAGCACCAAAATGTGTAGAAAGTAAAGGGCCTCAAAATATGGGCTGTCAGTAGTGTGGCAAATTTTGAACATCACCTCCTCTCAGATCTCTGTACAGAGGTACCAAGTTGCAATCACAGAAAGGCAGTTTAAAAACTACTTCATTTGAAATCTTTTCTATTAAATGATAAACATTAAGAGGAATAACATAATCTTACATGTCAACAAAACATCACAGTCAGCAGAAAACGCAACTAAGTAGCCAAATAGAACATTTCTATAATGTTTGAGCATTCAATATCTTCCTTGACATTATTTTTTAGTCGGGGCACTCAAGCAGGCAGCAGCCTGTCACTTACAGCCTCTGTCATTTCCCGTTCCAATTCGTTAAACCCTAGGCTTTCCCCAGAAACACACAATCCACATGGAGATTCTTCTGCCAGTCAGAAAAGATCAATTCAAAGGATGCAGAAATTGATATGCAACTCTTGAGTGGGCATGAACGCCATAATAAACTGCTACCTACGCATGGAATTATATTTTCTAGGTTGACAGTGTATGGGCAGAAGCAGCAGGAGCATATGTTTAGATTTTATAGTCGGCACTTATTTCCTATTGACTGGCTTCTCTTTGGCTGCCAAAAAATAGATCAAGTTCAGAAGCTAAAGCCAAGTTGTCAATTCTTTATCTTTGCCTTTCTCTCTAAAAAATACCTAAATTAGTAAGGCAGCATAGCCAATTTACACACAGAGGCTTGATTAAAAACTTCAATCATTTGCCTCTCTTTCCTTCCCTGTAATACTTAAAATTCTAGGATTTCAAATTCATAAACGCTTCTATAAACACCACTGATCCAAAAACAAAAAATCACATGGCTACTGTATAATGTATGCCCCAATGAAAATAACACCCTAACGCAGAAATGAGTGGGCTCAAAATAATGTAGCTGGAGCTCTCCTCTTAACCATGAGTGAGGCACCTGGGATTGCAAAGGCAACATTTAGCTTTCAGAAGCTTGTTGCTGACAAGAGTGGAAAGAAAGGATCTTACATCTTCTTTTCTTTCCTAATTCTAAAGCGGTGAGCAAAATGTCTGCTTTTATTGGTTTGAAGTGGCCTAAACCACTGCCAAAAAATGTGCAAAGGAAATTATATATACACATTCTCCTCCTAAAATGCCACCTCCTTTGTGAAGCTGTCTTGATTCCCCATTCACAATGCATACCTTCCTTCTCTACACTCTATCATAATTTATACCTCCATTAATATTTGCAAATTATTTTCTATGTGAGTAATGTGTTTACAGGTCTCCCTCTCCTACTAAACTGTAAACTTCCACAGCTCAGGGACCAAGTCATTATCTCTCTGGTCCCCACAAGGCCAAGCAGAGTGCTTTATAAATGGTAGGTGCAAAATAAATGTTTGATGAATGAATAAATACGGTGGTGTCAGCTTTATGATGACTAGAAGTTTTGATGATGTTAAGAGTAGTTGCTCCCCAAACCTCAATCTCTTTTCTCTGTATTTGGTATCATGATTATGTGCACTGAAGAGAGAGAAAGATTTAGAGATGTCTTCCTGAGAATACATTTTATATTTGATATGTCTATTTTGATAACCCTCGAGTAAACCATCTTTTAGAAAAGATTTCCAGGGTTAAATGGAATTCAATGGGGGAAAGTTTCAATGAGTCAGACAAAAGCTATCTCTACTTCCTGTGATGCAGTGTGCTGTCACACACCTCAGAAAAAAAGTGCAAAATTGTAAAAGCTGAGAGCATGACTCCACAAGACTCTATTAACCAGGTGCTACCTATATAAAATGATCAAGAAGAGGAAAGAAGGAACCCTGAATGGTCTTTAGTTCTCAAAAAGCAAGGGTCTAACTAGAAACTAATGAGTGACAACTGTTTCAGGTACACAGCGTAAAAAGGAAACACACGTGTCTAAAGAGAGAAAGGTCAACTTTAGGCAATGAAAAGTCAAAAAAGATCCTCCCCCCCCCCCCCCCCCCCACATTTTCATCTGTTTCACATGTTATTTTACTGCTGGATACAGGATTTGGCAAAACTAACAACTGGTTATTTGGAAATTTCTAAACAATGATCACTTTCTCCTACAATGTACATTTTTCCATTCCAAAACAAACAAGATACTTTGTTTTGACAGGGACAATTTCCAATCGCTTAGCACTGAAACGCATAAAAGAAAATGGAAAATTGTTTGAATACCATATAGCACTTTTGAGTTTATTAGGGCTGGATTTAATCAAAAGGGCTGGATTTAATCAAAATCCAGGGCTGGATTTAATCAAAAGATGAAAAATACAAACTCAAAAGCTTTTAGTTGACAAGAAGTAAGTCTTGGAACTTCCCTGGTGGCGCAGTGGTTAAGAATCAGCCTGCCAAAGCAGGGGACACGGGTTCGAGCCCAGGTCCGGGAAGATCCCACAGGCCACGGAGCAACTCAGCCTGTGCGCCACAACTACTGAAGCCCGCACGCCTAGAGCCCATGCTCCTCAAATGAAGCCACCTCTTCCTTACGGTGTGCAGGCTTCTCTGTAAGAGAAGTCACCGCAATGAGAAGCCTGCACACCGCAACGAAGAGTAGCCCCCACTCACCACAACTAGAGAAAGCCCATGCTCAGCAATGAAGACCCAAAGCAGCCAAAAAAAAAAAAAAAAAGTCTTGGGATTTTTCTGTTTGAGCTGTAAGTCAGGTTCACAGAAAAGTAATCAGAAACTAGACTGGCTGGAGATAAGAAAGAGCCTTGAAATGAGAGGTGTGATACCATGGGTTCCACCTGTGACTTGGCCTCTCAACAAGCCTGGGGACCTTGAGCAAATTACCTAAACTCTTATCTGTGAAGTTCTTTGATAATTTCTAAAGCCCCTTTTAGCATGATCAATTTTTAATTGTCTAATATTTTTCCTTAAGTCATCAATTAGTTCATTCAACAATATGAATACCTTCAATGAACATAGTAAAGGACAGTTTCTGCCCTCAAAGAGTGGATAAGTCAGTGGGAAAAGTGAAGGCTTCACCCGCAGTTCCTAGGAGCTCATTCATCCATTTTAGTTCTAAACAAAAGTCACAGAGGAGCCCAGAAGGGAATGTGGATGGAAAGGAGTAGGAGAAACCCCACAGAAACTCTTGGGAGGAAGAGAGGGTAATTTATTGTCTCAGTCCACCAAGTTTATTGATTACTGTGCTGGGCACTGGGGATCCTGGGGTGACCTGAAGAGATCAGGCCTCTAATGAAGCTTACTTGCATTCTAGGTGGTGAAGAAAGAAAAACAGGTTAACAAATAAATGAAATCCAGATTGTGATTAGTTCTAGGAAGAAAACAGAGGATAATGAGAGAGAATAACTCTGTGTGTGTGTGCATGCGGTGTGGTGGGGGGTGGACTTCAACATAGGGAAGGCCCTTTGGAGATGGTAGTGGTTAGCTGACTGGGACCTCAAGTGAGCACAGCCAGCACACAGGGGCTAGTGGTTCAGCTCGAGGGAAGCAGGAAAATGCCGAGGCTGGAAAGGGCTGGAGCAGACAGATCATCTGCATGGTTGTTTTAAAGAGCAGTTACTTCTGGAAAGTACAGAATTAAAGCAGTACAGATGACCCTTGAACAACACCGGTTTGAATTGCGCGGGTCCACCTACACGTGGATTGTTTTCAATAAATACTACAGTAATGCTACACAATCCACAGCTGGTTTAAATCTTGGATGCCGAACCTCAGATAAGGAGGGCCGGCTACAAATTTACAGGCAGATGTTTGACTGTGCAGACTGCCAGCACCCCCAACCCCCCAGTTGTTCAAGGGTCAGCTGTAGTTCTTGACTAAGGGCCATTTTGTCCCCCAGGGGACATTTGACAACGTCTGGAGACATTTTGGGTTGTCAAATGATTTGAGGTGGGGAGGGTACTACTACTGAGATTGAGAAAACCTGCACTAAAGGAATTTACTGCCCGAAGTTTGGTTTTAGTCATTAGGTTATAAACTCATGTTTTTACAAACTTGAATCTTTTTTGTTTTCCTTTACTGTGGAAACAAAGTAAAAACAGGTTTCAAGTGACCCACTGCTTCATCCACTCTCTCAGGAAAGCCCACTGCAGAGGTTCCAGGGGCTCCACAAACCGCTGAGAAGCCCCACAAGATACTAGATGTGTAGCTGAACCCGTTGGAAAGGGACCTGCGGAGACCCACACCCAACTGCTCACTGGGGTTGCCTCTGCGCAGGGGACCAGGTTAGGAGGCAGTGTAAGAGGAGCACATATTCGTGTTTTACTTCCATAATAACCAATGAATATTAAAAATAATGCAAAGTGGGGGTCCATACAGGGAAGAAGTGGAGAGATGCCCTCCCGCGGGCGAAACCTCTGTCCTCTGGGCCTCTACCGCCCTTCTGCGTTGACCCGGTCCCTCCAGGCTCTAGCCTCCCCTCCCACACCCCACACCCCCCACCCCCGGCGGGCCCTTGGCCCGCATTAACCCCACGACCCCGCAGGCTCTAACCCAGGCCCCTCCGGGCCCGCGAAGTCCTCCCCGCCCCCCCCCTCACCTCGGCGGGCAGGCGTCTCCTCAGGGAGGCTGGCAGCAGGCTGTCCTCGACGTAAGGGTTGCCCAGGCGGAGCAGCCCCGAGCCGAAGGCCCCGTCGGGGTCCGTGTGCGGCGCCTCGAGCTCGGTGCGGGTCCCTCAGGCCCGGGAGCGCCCGGCGAACCCTCGGAAGGGCGGGAAACGCCGGAGGAGAGCCTTGGAGCCGGAGGCCTGACGGCAGGTGAGCAGGGAACCACCTCCTCACGGGCGCCAGGAGGCCAGGCGTGGAGGGCGGGGCTTGCTGGGGGCGCGTTAGCCGTCGCTCGCCTCTTTTTGCATATTCATGAGACCGAGCGAGGCGGGCCGATCAGGCGAGCAGAAGTAATGAATTATTCATGACGCGTCTCGCCCCGCCCAGGAAGGTCTCGTTGCTTATTCTTAAGCCCGAGGGAGAGTTTGAGCCGGAAAAGGCCGTTGAGTCCCTCTCACTGGGAGGTGTCGACCCTCTGAGGTGAGGGCTGTCCAGATGGGAGGCATACGGAGAAAAACGGCGCTTGAGCGTCGTTAGTTCTCTTAGAGTTTTCGGGTTTTTTTTTTTCCTCTTAGGTTATTTTTTTCCCTTTACGTTTCTTTTTCCTCGAGGCTTTAAGTTTGATTTGAAAGTATTTCTGTGAGGCCCGAAGTATTCTGAGGAGTAGCGGGAAGGCCGGGGCTGAGGGGAAGGACAAAGAGGAACCCCTAGGTAGCATTCCCCACCCCTCTCCCCAACGCTTGATGATGAAAAATTTCACATTTACTGGGGGTGGGGTGCGGGGGTGGAGAGAATTGTACTGGGAACACTCACATTCCCACTATCAAGGTAGCTTTTAAATTGAAATGGTGGTGGAAAAGAAGGAATCAGTCCAGGTGAGGACGCAGCAGCGGGCAGTCGGCAGCCAAGCTCTTATTCCGGCCGACACCTGCGTGTTGCAACCAGTCGGATCGGGAGCTTTGTGGGGGAGGGCTATCTATCTTCTAGGTCAGGTTTTCTCCAGCCATTGAGGTGTTCTGTGAGAATCAATGGCTGGCGCACACCAAGAGGTGTGAGTCCCCACAGGATGACCTCAGCTCCTCTTTCGCCTTATCCAGGATTTGCCGTTTAATCTCATGGACTTTAGTTCCCCAAACAGTGCAGGGGAGAGAGTGTCTTGAAACTCAAGATTAACCAATCACCGAAATGTGTTCAATTGTGCAGAGCACTGGACTTGGTGTGCAGTACATCATGTTACTTGGCTGATGAAAATGAAGAAAAAGTACAGTTCTTGCCCATAAAGGAGTTTTAAACTGATTAGGATAATAATCTAATTTCTCCCCCATTGGGCCATAAATCTCTTGAGGTAGGAACAGTATTTTACATCTTTGTAAGCCTACACGAAGACTAGCACGTGGTAGTCGCCCAGTAAATGTTGAATAGAATGAATAATTGAAGTAGCCTGAAGAAGATATTAAAAAACCAAAAGAGCATGAATAAATACCCAATTAATATAGTGGAAACCATTTACTCTGAGTGAGCACAGAGTAGGGGAATTAACAGGACCAAATGGGATTTGTTAAAATGGAGAATAATAATTTATGGGAGCAAACTCTGTGAAACCTCTGAGTCACAGGGTGACCTTTAGCAAACCATGTTCCCTTACTGGACTTCACTTTCCTCTTCTTTGTACTAATAGTTTTATATTGTACATTTAAATCTATGATCCATTTTGAATTAATATTTGTATATGGTGTCAGATTTAGGTTGAAGGTTTTCAGGGTTTTTTGGTCTATGGATGTCCTGTTGTTCCAGCACTGTTTGTTAAAAAGACTATCCTTCCTCCACTGAATTGACTTTTCTTTAAAATGAAAGGATTGGATTAGTTTTAGAGCATGTCTCCTCCCCCTTCCAACTCTGATTTAAGCCCATTTATGTTGACAGGTACTTCCTTTGAGTAAAGCCATCTCCTTCATACCATACACATGTATGGAAGGTCATCTAGCTGCATTTTAGAATCTAGCTGTTGGACATTATACATTTGATAGAAAAGGGATTTTCTTGTTTCAAAAAAATGGTTTTGGAAGATTGGGAAAGATGGGTGAAAAGTATTAGGAAATCAACTATTATTGTCTTTGGGCAAATGTAATGAAACTTTTTTGTGTGTGTCACTCAGAATGCCACCTACACCCCCCCCCCCAAAAAAAAGTGGCTTAGGCCTTCAGAAACTAAACAACAGCTGGTTAATTTTTATCTGAATCTTGGATTCACACATAAAAGGGTAAAAGAGTAATTGTGCCACCATTTTAAATAGGGCAATTGTGATATAGGTCAAGAAGTAAGCCCAGAGTGAGTCTTATCTGAGAAAACACAGAAATTTTGTTTTTCTCAAGATCATAATCCTTGTCACAGAGTAGACATATCAAGCATAAGAGTGAATGTATTGATGCCCTGTGAAGTTTCGGATGTTTGTGGATCCAATATACAAGCAAATATATGTCAAAGACATTTGGAAGTTAAAGTTCTGTTCTTAAAACCCATAGTTATGAAATATCTCTTAAGTTTTAGATAATGAGTCAGAACAAGGTGATAAAAAAATACCAGAGTAATTCTCTGAGAGTACATGATCTGTAGAGTCATACCTCCTGGGGCTGTCAGCTTGTGAGCTTTCAAAATTAAGCAGAGTTTGTACTTGAATAGGAGACCTCCACAAAACACCTGCTCAAAGGGAAAAAGACAGTAGCAACAGAATAGTTAGAGGTTGAAAGGAGCCTGGCTATTTAAAATAATTATTTAGATCTTTTTTGCCTTCCTGAAGCCAGTTTATTTCAGGACACCAAAAAGAGACCCTACCATGTTTAGAAATAAGCAAGCAAGCCCAACAACTAAGAAGGTGCTGGTAATGCAGTATTTTAGATGGAATGAAAGCAAGGGGAATTTCATTACGCAGAGTCATTGTAGAAAAACCCCTAAATTGTGAGTCAAATTTTCTTGATTTTTATTCTCAGTTCTGATTGACCTTGAGTAAGTCAATTGACTTCTCTGGACCTTGATTTTCTCATCTAGAAAATTAGATGTTTGGACTAGATGACATTTAAAGTTCCTTCTACTTCTAAAATTCTGTAATTCTATTCTAGACCCTTACTTTTTCCTTGTTCATGTAGTACTTCTCTATTGATTCAGCAGATATTTTTTGAGCACCTACCTACTTTATTCCAGTACTGTCATGGTGCTAAGGATCCAAGAATGAGCTAAACTAGACACAAAAGTTTATATATGATTCCATTTATATCAAATGTCTGGAATAAGCAAATCCATGAGATGAAAAGTAGATTAATGGTTGCAAGGAGTCAGGCGAGGGGAAAATGAGGTGTGATTGCTAGTGGGTATGGAGTTTCTTTTCACGTAATGAAAATCTTCTCAAATTAGATGGTAGTGATGGTTGCAAAACTTCATGAATATACTAAAACCTACTGAATTGTACCTTAAAAAAAAAACTTAAAAAATATGGAATGAACTAGGCAGATACAACTTTGCCCTCACATTATCTCACAGCAGGGTGGGGTGGATACATAAATGCAATGATATGGAATATATTACAATGGGCACATAACCCAGACTTGGTGGTGAACCAGGGAATAATTCCTCGAGAAACTTATACTAAGCCATGTCTAGAAGATGAGTAGGAATTGGAAAGGGAGGAGGATGTTTCAGGCAGAAGGAACATTACAAAAGCCTGAAAGCTAGAGAGAATATAGGTTAATTAAAGTAGATAAGAATAGCTGATGCATAAAAGTGTAAGGGAAAATGGTTAGAGATGTGGCTAAAGAGGCATGAGCCAGATCTTGAGGCTATGGTAAGGAGTTTGGATTTCATCCTGAGGACAGTGGGGAGCCACTGAAGTATTTCAGTTGAGGAAGTTACATAGTCAAGTTTGTACTCTAAAAATAATACTCTGGCTGCAATACAAAGAACATACTGGAGAAGGGTAAGACCAGTGACAGGCAGACTGGTGGTTGAAGAAATCCAGTCAAAAGATGAGGCTGATCTGATCTGAAGCATAGATGACAACAATGTGTATAAAGTGAGGAGTGGACACTTGAGAAAGGAGAATGGATGTGGGAATGAGGGAGGGAACAGGGTTGAGTCATAGTTTTTAGGCTTGAGCATCTAGGTATTTGATGTTGTCATTCACTTAGCTAAGGTACAGACATAGGTTTCGGGCAAAAGAATTCACATTTGGGTATGCTGGGAACATCAAATTGGAACTGGCTCATAGAGGTATAGATCTGCAACTCCCCAGTGAAACCTAGGTTGGGGGAATACATCTAAGAGTCGTTAGAATAGAAATATAATTGAAACAAGAAAGTATTTGTTCATCCAGGGAGTGTGTTTAGAAGTTAAAAAAAGAAAAAAAAGCTCCTAGGACAGAGCCCTTGAAGAACACCAAAAGCTAAGAAAGGGTCAGGTTACACTCAGAAATGAAGGTTATAATCTGAAGTCAACAAAAGATACCTTGGAATCATTAAGGACCAAAGGACTATTAGGTGGTTTCAGTCTCATGTAAAATCTTGTAAAAGAGTGTCCCCTAGTGCTGCTCTGAAGAAATAATTTGAGAGAAATTATTACCTGTTTATAATCTCTATCACCACCTTGTGGCAGTGTCCTTAAATAATTCTGCCCTCTTTTATTTGCAAAATCTTCCAGAATCTTGCATTAATTTGTACACAAAAACAAGTCACAGGCTATCCTGAGTGATCCAGAATGGAATTTCTTTAAGTGGGTTATCTACAGATATTTTGGTCAGAACTCCATAAAACCTTGACAAGAAACTACAATATAAATTAAGTCCTTTGAAAAGAAAAAGGGAAATTTACTTCTTTTTTATGTTAGTGAAGCAACAGAATTGAAAACTATGTATTTTAAATATTAATACTTTTTATTGTGACAAAATGTACATTACATAAAATTCATCATCTCAGCCATTCTTAAGTGTATAATTCAGTGGCACTAAGTGCATTCACAGTGTTGTACAACCATCACCACTACCCATTTCTAAAAATTTTTCATCATCCTGAACAGAAACTCTGTACTCATTGAACTCCCCATTCTTTCTACCTTCCAGCCCCTGGTGACTTCTATTCTATTCTCTGTTGCTATGAATTTGACTACTTTAGGTATCTCTACCTCATATAAGTGGAATCGTGCAATATGTGTCCTTTTGTGTCTGGTTTATTTCACTTAACATAATGTTTTCAAGTTTATCCATGTTGCAACATGTATCAGAATTTCATTCCTTTCTAAGGCTGAATAATATTCCATTGTATATACCACATTTTAAAAATCCATTCAACTGTTGTTGGACATTTGGGTTGTTTCCACCTTTTGGCTATTGTAAATAATATTGCTGTGAACATTGGTGTGTAATCTGTTTGAATCCCTCCTTTCAATTCTTTTGAGTTTAGACCTAGAAGTGGAATTGCTGGGTAATATGGTAAATCTATTGAACTTTTTGAAGAACTGCCATACTGTTTTCCACAGCAGCTGCACCATTTTACATTCCTACCAGCAGTGTACAAGGATTCTGATTTTTCACATCTTCACCTCCACTTGTTATTTTCCACTTTTTTGAATAGCCATCCTAATGAGTATGAAGTGTAAACTTTAACTTTTGAGTTTACTTTGAAAATCAGTTATACATGAAGTTAATTCAAGAAGTATTTTTGAGCCCCTGTTATATAGAGAGCACTGTTACACTCTGAGGGAATAACAAGGATGAGTAAAATATACTGTTGAATCTTTAGGGGATTTACAATTTATTTTTCCCCTCCAAATGTATTTGGGAACAAGTAAGTCAACTTAAATTTTTATCGGGTGGTTGGAAAAACTAATCCAGAGATCTTACTTTATAGAAAATTGGTAGTGGAGATAAAAATGTTTATTAAACTAATTTTCAAAAGAATACAATCAAATGCTAATTATATAGTTCTTCGGAAAATTCACAATAAGGATTACATTAGGCAAGGTCTCTAATTTTTTTTTTTTTTTTACAGGTTAGACTTGTTAAAAGAATCCTTGATAGATTGCTATAATGGCCACTGCTCAGCTCTCTCATTCTATCAGAATTCACAAGGCACCTAAGGTATTTATTAAGAATTAAAAGAAAATCAATGACTATTTAGTGAGTTAGTTCAGAATCATGACTTTAATCTTTGGTGTTTTTTTAAACAGCAGTTTTATCAGTTAATCGGCACATAATATTCTGGCAGACTATGTCTACATTTTAACTAGCTAATGGACTGAGGATGTTCAGGAAATCAATAGATTTCTACAAAGTAACTTATTGGGTGCTTGTTTCATGTTTATATATTTAGACTTTGTAGAGGAAAAGAAATCAGAAACAAAAAAAGATGTTTAAAGAGAATGGCTCTTTGTTAGACATTCACTTCCTGACACAATTAGGACACTTCTAATGCACACTATGATGTAATTATAATAACTGGAGGAGAGAGCACTTAGAGAAACTAGGATCCTGGGGCCCTGGGGAAGCATGCCAGGGCCAGGCAACCTTGCTGGGTTCACCTGGGCAAATTTATCTTGTCCCATGACATTCATTAATGAACATTCATTGATTCATTGAGAGCTTAATATTATATAATATATATGTAATGCTGTGTTATTCTCTGAGAGAATTAAAAAAAAAAGAATCTTCACATTCTAGAAGTTTATAATCTGGTTAGGGAAATAAGATTTACAGGAGGTAAGTCAATATACAAAGCAGTATATGCATTAAATATATGTGAAAAGAGTAAAGCAATACAATTATAGGAATTCAGAGATTTTATATAGACTGGAATGGTTTGTATATTCCTCACGAAGGAGATAGGACTTAAGGTGGACCTTAATTAATGAAAAGGATTAGGAGAGAGGAGAGAGGAGAGAATTCCATGAGGAAAAACTAGCATATGCCTTGGCTCAGAGTAAGAAATGAGCATGGCATGTTTCAGAGAATAACAAAGAATCCATCCTTACTGTAGTGGAGTGTCATCATGTTGGACAGAAGTAGGAAATAAAATTGAATAGGAACTTTGGGGACAAATTAATGTGGATCTTAAAAGCCAGGCTAAGGAATTTATGCTTTATTCTGTAATCAATGGAAAGTCAGTGGTTTCACCAGGACAGTGAGTAAAATAATGTTTTAGGAATATTAAGCTGTAACAGAGGCAGGGAAGACTGAAGTTGAAAGAGAATTAGGGCAGAGAGAAAGCAGTCATCTTTCTGGCTCAAATTCAATATACTCACCAAGCCAACTTCTGATCTCATTGCGTTTCCACTTAGGAAACCCTTCCTGGGGTGAAAATGCTGAGCTGGGTATATGAATTGCAATCAGCTTGGCAGTTATTTTTCTTACTGTAAATTAACAAATTGACCTTTTGATATAAACAGATCTTTGTAGTTTGAACTGCATGAGCTACTTCTCCCAGTAAATTTTAAGTGACTGTATGATTTTGCTATTTAATACTTAAAACAACAATAATAATAACTATAGAAGCTAACATTTATTCAGCACTTACCATGTGCTGGGCACTGTGCCAAGGGCTTTATATTATTATTTCACTTAAACCTTGAAATAAGGGGAAAACTGAAGCTCAGAGAAGTAAAGTAACTTGCCGTAGGTCATGTAGCTTGACAGCTGAGCTGTCAAACATTACTTATATCATTAGCACAATTTCTTATTAAAATAATTTATAATAGTGTTTTCTATTATCAAGCCACAGTATTTTCATGTATTAGACATTTATAAAAACGTGAATGATAACCCCTAAAGTATTAGATCAACTGAGCTGAGAAAAAAATCCCTGGAGTATAGAAAAGTAACAATTCTAGAGGGCTTTTCCAATCATTGATCTTCATTATTACAAATGGCCTTTTAGATTCTATATTTAAAGTAAACATCTTTATATTTTTAGGTTATTTAATTTAACAAGTGGTTATTACTCAAGTATTGCCTCTAAATTTTGGCATGTTTTCAATAAGTTATTATACATGTATGCCATGCCGGCTATTACCCAATTACCCCCACAGAACCTTAATTTCTCAGGATCTATGGGTACCAAAAGCAATTTTCTGTAAAATTTTACACACATACACATAGACACACATGCATATTACATATTCTCCTTCAACGTTAATCTTTCCTACTTCTGCTATAGCTTAATATTCGTAAAACAATTATTCTGCTCACTCTCCTAATCAAACCTGCTGCTTTTCCACTGGTTACAGAATAAAGCATAAATTCCTTAGCCTGACTTTTTTTTTTTTTTTTTTTTTTGTGGTACACAGGCCTCTCACTGCTGTGGCCTCTCCCGTTACGGAGCACAGGCTCCGGACACACAGGCTCAGCGGCCACGGCTCACGGGTCCAGCCGCTCCGCGGCATGTGGGATCTTCCCGGACCAGGGCACGAACCCGTGTCCCCTGCATCGGCAGGCGGACTCTCAACCACTGCGCCACCAGGGAAGCCCTTAGCCTGACTTTTAAGATCCATAATAATTTGTCCCCAAAGTTCCTATCATACATGCAAGAATAATTTTATGTATCTTTTTAACAACTGAATATAATATGGTTTGACAAAATGATGAACTGATAATTCATTTTCGCTATGTAGTGTACCAAAGAGGAAGCAAGCTTACATTGCAAAATCATGTCTAGAATGTCCTGAAGACATTCTAGAACCAGATATAGATAAAGATTTTGGGGCGTTCTCTTTCATCTAAATGCATATTTGTGGGTAGTACCTGCCTCTAAGTGACAGAATTATTAAAACTTCAACAGTTGAAACTGTGCAGTATAGTAAAAAAAGACCTCTGAATTTGCATGAGGTAATCAGAGATTTACCATTCTGACTTCTAATATCATAGATTAGTTTCACCTGCTTTTGTACTTTATATAAATGAAATCATACTTTAGTACTCAATTGTATCAGGTTTCTTTGCACTCAGCTTTATCTGTGAGAGTCACTTATACTGCAGAACTTTTGCTTAAGCAAAGCACAAAGATGTGGAAATACATGGTAGTAGAATAGTAGATGAATAGTAGTTCCACATGGCTAGGGAGTAGGGTGCATAGGAGGGGATAAGGGAGGAGGGGCAGAAGGGAGGGGTGGGAGATGAGACAGGAAAGCTAGGCAAAGATAAGATTTTGACAGTTCTCAAACGCTACACTTGAACTCTATCCTGTATGAACACTGGGAGTGTCATGATAAGATTTGTATTCTTTAAAGTTAATAATGTCGGCAGTATGAAGGACAGATTGAATGAAAGGAACTGTTAGCAGGGAGGTCAGAGGCAACTACAGTAGTAAAGGGGAGAAGTGACCATGTCCTGAGCCAAGGCAGTGGCAGTGAGAAGAGAAAGGAGAAAACAGATTTGAGAACTCTCCTAGAGAGGATTAATAGGACTTTGTGATTGGATATGGGGAATGGAGGAGAGAGAGAAGCCGAAGATGACTGTACTTCTAGCTTGGATGATTGGAGTGGATGCTGATCCATTCGTCTGAGAATGAAACTTGGGATCAGGTTTCAGTCAGGGTGATAGAGATAAACTGAGTTTGAGGATGTTATGGCAACTGAGAGAGAGGAGAGTGTAGGCAAAAGTGTTAAGCACTGCAGAGGAGTTTACATAGTACGAGGACCAAGATGAGGTCAATGATAGGATGTACTTGGTGACTTTGGAGAGAATAGTATAGAACAGAGCGGGTGGAAGACAGATTGCAGTGGGTTCTGAGGAGTGTATGAAAGGGAAGATTATATAACCATAGTAAAACTCCCCATTTTGCTTAAATCCATGGGTCATTGTAAAATAAATTATGTCAGTCTTGAATTACTTGGTTAACCGTCTCTGCCTTTCTTCTTTGCCTTGCCAGTGAAGATCTAATCTGACGCAATATTCAAAGCCCAGTTTCCTTTTGATTATCTATAAAGGTATCAGATTTGAGGTCTTGAAAAATCTTTCCATTTTACTGTGATAATGGCATGATGGGCTGAATATATTAAAGAATACTAATCTTTTTCATTTTCCCCCCCTCCCAGCAAACAGTTTTCCCATGTCAAATAACTAAGGAGCATGAGTCATTGATAATGGTGAAGAAACTTTTTGCTACTTCTATCTCATGTGTAACATATCTAAGGGGCCTGTTTCCAGAGAGCTCTTACGAAGAAAGCCATTTGGATGGTAAAGTTTAACTAAATGGTTACTTTGGCTGGTGGAGCCCTTTTCCTCTATTTGGCAGGAGTAAAACTTTACTTTCTCACAGAGTGTGCTAATTCCAAGTCATGGGTTCTTTAAGATCAATTTGCTAATTCATTTTCCATTTTAATTTCACTATGTTTAGTGGTTTTACTTATAGGAACCATTAGTTCCTGGCTAATACCAAATCACGGAATGAAAAGAAAAGAAATACGTATGGACAAGCCCAGTAATTCTAAACTGTACCTACAAAAGCAGCAACCAGATCGAAATCTACTTGGGGGCTGTACATTTGCACTATTTTGTGTCTCAACTGAATTTTTTTCTTTGAGGTAGACTTTGGCCTTGAGGAATTTTAATTGAGAAGTTTAATTCTTTCTGTTAACATATACAAATATGTGGAAAATATGCATACCCATGCCAAACCCATTTGTTGATTAACATGGATATGTAGACAATTATTATTCTAATCAGCTCTGGTTTTTTCTTAATTTTCTGTCTTTTCTACTTTTCTTCCTTTTATTTCTTATGTCCTTAAACTCATGATCTCATTTCCTTGTATTACAAGCTGTTTCTGTCTCCTTTCCTTCTCTTGTATTAAAAAGAATGTACCTAGGACTCTTCAATTTTTCAAAAATCTTTTTGTTTAAAAAGATGGATTGTGATAACAATTCAGAAAATTTTGCTGATTTGTCATGAAAGTGGGAAAGTATCATTTGGAAAATAAATATAGAGGGCTACAAGTTTCCTTGTAAGATGTTATTTTTCAAAATCTAACTTTACTTTAAATTTCTCACATCTGTATTTAATGATATACTTGGGCCTCATTCCAATTTAATTTTCTTAAACATTTGATTCTCTACATGAGCATCAATGAAATGCATGTGTGCTATAAACACAAAGGCATTATATTTGCAACTGTGACAGCCTCATTTGTGTTATGTCCTCTTTTGGTCTATAGGATATAAATCTGTAATAGTGAAAATGTTTATATGTAGCATATAGTTGCAGTTTCTCCTCTTGTTTGGAATATAGAATTGGAAAAAGACGTATTTGGAGTAATTAAGCGCTTACTGTGTGCCAATCACTAACCTGTGCATGGAGGGCAATACCATTGTTTATAGCTTTATTTTTTGTGACAGTTTTAATGGAAGTTATATATCTCCCTCCCAGTGTTTGTACTTAAAGTAGCATATATCATAAAAATGCCCAGTACTCCTAAGTTGCTCTCTTTTTGGCAATCTCTAAATGTTATACCAATATGGAATAATTTTCATATCTCTCAATAGCAATAGAGGTAACATCAATTTTAGGATAGGAAAACAATCTGAAAAGGTGAAGTGATTTATATAAAGTCATACGTGAATCAGTAATTGATTTTAGACTGATCTAAACCAAAACTTTTAATGTGATTTTCTTATTCTTCCTTCCTATAGTAAGGTAGTCGAATTTCAGATGGAAATTAATATTTGAGAATAATCCATGGAAACATTTTTCATCCTTTTTTTCTTTCATTGAGAGAGAGAGAAATACCAGAGAAGTGATTTGAGACTGAGGTGTACGTTTTAAATTGGTTGATGGAGATGGTCTCAGTACTACCTTATGATAACTTAGAATTCAGCAGAAGCAAAGAAGTGACACAAATTGATTTTGCAACCAAATCAGTTGTGCTACATTGTAGAAGGGAAGACTGCTAATCTATAATAAAAATGGGAACTAAGTCAATTATCAACATAGGATTTATTTTTAAATTAGATATTTTGTGATTCAAAATGTTTTTATAAGCTATAAACTAAGTAAGTTATAAAAATAAAATCATGAAAGGAAATACCCTTATTTAGTATGGACAATTTTAGTGCAACAGACTGTTTCTATTTTTGTAGACCTCAGTTTAAAAATCCTCCGAGAAGATAAAAAATGTCCTGGGTCACTGCATATTATCAGGTGGTAAGTAATTGAAATTCCACCAAAGTTGAACAACATTATTTTTATCATAGCTGAAATTACCCATAAGACTTTATTTGGTAAGATCATTTCCTTAAAACTATTGCCTTCTTCCTTTCTTTCTTTTCATCTTCTTTTTTTTTTAATTTCCTAGAAATATGTAACAATTATTCAATATTATTTTAAGATACTGATTTAGTTTTGTTTTTGAAGAAAGTGGACTTTATATAAGAAAGAAAAATATCAGTCAAAATTTGATTACTCATCATGTGCATGTCAGTGTCCTAAACATTATGGGAGGCCAAAAGAAAAATAAGATGTGATTCCCTACCTCAAAATTGCTTACATATTATTTATAAAGTACTATCAACATATTAAAAGATATAGGAATTTCTAAAAAATGATTAAATGGGAAAGGTGAAATGGTTATCAATTTAATGTATTTCAAAGCAAGAAACAAATCAGTTTTGTACTTGGGATTCTTTCTGGCTTTGCATCTGGTCCAAATTGACACCAAACATTTATTTCTTGACAGGATTCGAGGTTGTTTTGATGCTTTGGAAAAGAGATACGTAAGAATGTTTTTAAATTTACACCAGGATCAAAGACTCATCCTTTATCCCTTTAAAAGAAAAATTTAGCCTTTATTTTGTTGTTGTGTTTTAACAGTATACCAGTTCCTACATTTGCATTCATGAACCAGTTTCTTTTTATTTTGTGTCTTTGTTGTCCTGTTGATGTCTCATTTACATCAATTAGAAATGAAACCCTCATTTTTCTCTTTTACATACTCATATCTTTTGACCACAGAATTTCCTCTGAAGTCACTGGAAGAGATCCACAGGATGTGGGAAAGGGCAGACAAGAATCTGGCATTTAGCACATTGAACATGTTCAAAATAGTGGCGATTCAATTTGCAGATATGAGAGTAAAAAATGGACTTGAATAATCGGTTTTTATTCTATGTTAGTTATTTTGTTAACTATGTTTGGCACATGTATATAACCTGTTCCCTCAAAATAGCTAGTATTGTAGCTTGAATTTTTTTAAATGCAGCTTGAATTTTAAGTGCATTAGATTTTTCTTGCTGCCCAAGACAGCTATGAAGCGTGTAAAAATTAGAGGCTCTAGTCCTAGTTGAAGAGATAATATATAAATGAACTTTCCACCACTGCTTTCTCCTTTCCCCATCTCTGTCTTCTTTTTACTTCTCAATTCCTATTCCTTTAAAAAACCTTAAGGTGAGTAAGCCTTACATTGGATTATTTAGTTGCACTGATATATTTCCTTTTTCACTGAATAGTTATTACTTATGATTTATTCAACACTGACTGGGGGGGTTGAGGGATACAAAGATAAAACAGATATGAGATTGTGCACACAAAGAGCTTATAGTCCATGGCAGAAGACAGATGACATCATATGCACGGCTGATGATCAGCTATTGCACACTGGCATAGCTGTACCTGTTGTTAAAATGTTGAAGTACTCTATATCCAGTGGTAAATGGTTGCTTCTCTGAGATCCCAAATGACTCCCACCATGTCCGCCCCTTCACCCCACCAGTGTCTCTTCTGGGATGTCCCTAGACTGTTCCACAATCTAGCAACTAAAGGGTTGACACCTGGCCCGGGGGGAGCTTCCAGGAACCCAGCACCAGGGCTAAGTTGGCATCTTTTCTGATTGGTCAGTACCTGTGCCATGTTGGGCTGTTAAATTTTGATTTTTTCATATCAGTTTGATATTTCATTAGAAAGTGATGCATACCAAAGGCAAGATATTGATCATGTGCAAAGGAAGTATGGAAAAGGAGGGGTTATATCCAGTGAGGGACATGAGGGAAATCTTTGGGAGAAAATGACTTTGAAGGCCCTTAGTATTTAGACAGGTTGAGAGGGGAAGAAGGTCCTTACCAGTACACCGAACAGCACTCATTCATTCTCCTTTGTCCATTCATTTAGCAACATTTCTTGAGTGCCCATCTTTGAGGGGCAGTGAAATATAGTTAAGAGCTCAAGGTTTAGAAGAAGTAAGTCTGAAGTGAATCCTAGTTCTGCCACTTAATACCAGTGTGATCTTGGCACATAACCTACCTCTTGGTAACTTAGTTTCTTTACAATAATAATAGAACGAACCTCTTAGGGTTGTTTGAGAATTAAATGAGTTAATAATCTAAAGCAGTAGTTTTCAAACATTAGCTTGCATCAGAATCACCTGGAGGGCCTGTTAAAACACACATTGCCAGGTTCCACCCCAAAATTTCTGGTGTAAGAATTTTCATTTCAGACAAATTCCAAGTGATGCTGAGACTGCTGGTCTAGGGACCATACTTTCCAAGGCATCACTCTCACCATTGCTCACCATGTTCAAGCACACAAGCATTCGAGAACATGCCAAGTGCCTTTTACCCTTGTACATATTGTTACTTTTGCCTGCAAAATTTTCTTCCCTACCCCACACCCTTTATCTGGCTAATTCCAATTTATCCTTCAGGTCCCAGCCTAAATATTTACTTCCACGGGGAGGCCTTCCCTGACAACCACCCCCCCCCACCGCCACCCCTCTCCCAGCCTAGACTGTCCATCTGTTTAATGGTCACAAGCACTCAGTGCCGCTACTTCATAGCAATTAACACAATTGTAATGATGTACCTATCTGTGTGCTTTTTTTGTTCTCTCCTGCTGGTCTGCATGTTCCCTGAGATCAGGGGCCATTTCTATTTTTGAATGAATGAATGAACTATTAATTAAATAATTAATATAAATTAGAGTTTTACTGTGTAGTCTGAAAATCAATTGTATGCAGTAACCAAAACGGCCACACAGTGTCACTAAAGTTTTAGTCTTTTGGGTGAAATAGGTGAATAATTTGATACAAAATTATGGTCCTGAAATTTTCTCATTTGTATCCTAGTTTTTAATAGGCTTGCTTATATCTCTATCTCTGTATCTATATATTCCATTATTCTTCCAAGCAGAATCTGTTTATAGTAATGTAGTTGTAGGGAGGGCAGAGATTTTGTAGACTTATATCAGACTTAAAATTTTTTATTTTAGATTACTTTCAAAACACAAACTGTTTTAGAGATGCTTATGGCATAATTAACTTTTAGTAATAATGAATTATTTTGTATATCTTTTGCCTCCCAAACTAGAACGTAACTTATAGAGACTAAGGATAGTTATCTTCTTCTTCTTTTTTTTTTCCATCTCTCCCCTCCCCAGCAGGACCTTGGGTATGTAATAGAGACTCACATGAATGGATGAAAAATTAGTATCCATTTCTCTGACCTTCTGAATAGTATTTTTTTCCTACCCAGATCTTTTAATTTGAAAGTCATATTTTAATTAGACTTTATTGAAAATAATAATAATATAGGTGCAAGTGTATAGTAACAATAGTTTTCTTTTCTCTTGAAGCTACACATGGCAGTACTTACAGTAAGTGCACATTTAAAGACCAAGCCTCTGTCTCTGCTTCATTGTCTTTTGGCAAGTGAAATAGTAAAACAGTACTCTCCCCCATCCTCCCTGAATTGCATTGTCTGTCCTATGCATTTTGGAAGAAAAAAAAAAACTCTATCAGAAGTTTTAATAAAAGATCACAATCTACATATTTCTTTGGCATATTATAATACATGAGGAAATATATAGGCTATACTATCTGCTTCATCTACTGGCTATTAGAATTTCATTTTCTGAGTTAATTTACAGACTCAAAGCTCTTTGTTTTTGAAGTTTTACAGACTTTTTTGAAGCTTTGTATACTTCCTGGTATATAACACGGTATATGTAGTTAAGAATAGAAGGAAAATGAGAAGATACTTTTTTTTTTTTTTTTTTTTGCGGTACGCGGGCCTCTCACCGCCGCGGCCTCCCCCGTTGCGGAACACAGGCTCCGGACGCACAGGCTCAGCGGCCATGGCTCACGGGCCTAGCCGCCCCGCGGCATGTGGGATCCTCCCCGACCGGGACACGAACCCGTGTCCCCTGCATCGTCAGGTGGACTCTCAACCACTGCACCACCAGGGAAGCCTGAAAAGATACTATTGAGAGTCTTAGATATATGAGTTATTTTAAAATTTTTAAACCATAACAAATTACTGTGACTGTAGTGCAGTCGCAGTAATCATAAATATCTGGTTATCAATTTCCTTATAATCAGGGTTCACAGAATGCTCTAAAGACTCTCTATGTTCACAAAATAAGAGCTTATTCTATCTCTAGCTTGAAATATATATCTCAAGATACATATATATATATATATTTCAGTACTCAATTAATATAGCACAAATTGAACTCTTCACATAGAAAATATATTCTGTGGGGAGTAATCTAGTTTCAGAAATTAAATGCTGTTTATTTTTCCTTAAATAGCTTTACACAAATCCGAAGGAACCTGAGGTAAGAACACATAAAGAGATGGGCAGTATATTATATTTAAATATGTTTACCTGAGTTGAGGCTATAAATTATATCACTAGACTACCATATGAACAAAGCAACTTGTAGTGAGCTTTTTCAGTGTGTTTTATTATAAATGTCACCAATTCTTTATTATGAGATTTAAAAAACTACCTAAGGGTATTGGGAAAAAAACATTGAGTAGAACTGAGCGTATTCCCTAACACGTTAACAGTAAGAATCTGTATGAAAACTACCTTTTATTTTTATTTTAAATGATGCTGAATCCTTTCTATTTCTGACCTTTGTGGCATAATGCTAAACTTCTTTTTTTATGGCTAACTTAATTCTCTCCCTTCTGACATTTTCATAGATTTTTTAAGCTTTACCTCTTTACTTCTCTCTCTAAATTTCTCCCCTCTGCTTATTGAATCCTACTTATCCTCAACACCAACTTATGTTTAAAGCTTTCATGAAAGCCTCTTTGGCTGTTTTGTTCACACTAATTTCTCCTTTCTCTAAATTCCTTTCTCCAGCAGGACCTCACAATTTAACACTCTTAATTAATTCATAAAGATTACTTTATCTCCCTAACCAGATTGTGATTCCTGAGGACAAATCTTATCTTCTTTTCGATCTCCCAGTGTGAATTCATAGTCCTGGATACGTAATAGTAACTTGTGCTACTTTGAATGACAGCTGTGGCAGTGGCACAAATGGAGGGAGAAGCCCTTCGTTCTTTCTTCTTATTCTATCCTCTATTTTCCTCCCAGCTTTCTTTCCTCTTCCCTTTCCCTTTTGCTTGCTTTCAATTTTCCTTCCCTAAACCTATGGATTTAGCCTAACTGGTAACCTTCACAACTAAGTTAAGTGTTTTTTAGCCTTTAATATCCTTTCTTCTTTGGCAAGATTATAAACAGCTGTTTGAGCAAGGCAGAAGAAAACTGGTGCATGAGGTGGGTAACAATTCCTCAATGCCCAAGCTAAACCTATTTTTATCTTTGTCTCTAGTTTAGTTTCAATTTTTTTTGTTTTCAGTAGGTTTGAGGGGAGGTTTCCCAAAGTAAGATCTCCTGATAAATTGTTAATAAATTGGTCATTTCCTTAGTGCAATAAATTATGTTTTCTTATGCATGTAAAACTCATCTGAAACTAATGGTTTTGAGGTAGTGAAATGCTGAGGAAATTGGGCTATCTACAGAAAAATATTACAGAGTGGGAAGAAAACTGTTAAATGAGTTTTGATGCAGGCAATGTACGTAATAATAAAGTTAGAAAGCAAAAGCTTATTATATAAGTTCTGAGCTATCATTTATGACCCAGAAAAAAATATTTTGAACTCTTACATATTATTTCCTATAGCAGTGATCCCTAACCTCTGTGTTCATGGCACACTCTTGATTACTAGAAAATTTGGTGGCATGTTTAAGGGTATTAAAAGACTTAAAAGGACACCAAATGTGTCAGCAATAATTATGGTATAACTATGGCACAGCAATGTTCATAGTGCCTGAAAGTATCCATGGGGTTACACTGTTTTATGGTTGCTCTTTAGCACCAAGTCACTGATAGAACTATTTACCTCTTTGATCTCTTTCTTCTATGTACTCGCAAAACAGCATTCTCACATAAAGTCTTTCTTTGGCATTTATCTGATATGGTACCATGTTTCTTGACTCATACTGGTAGAAGTATATATTGTCCCCTAAGCAAAACTGCACAAACAGTAACAACATTAATATTTACCTGAAGCAAAAATGCATTTTACACATGGACTAAAATTTGCAGCACTCTTGTGAAGAGTCTGTCATGGTACACCAGTTGAGAACCTCTGCCTTAAATAAGTTTGCTTATCCAGTCCAGAGACCAACAGAGTTTTGGGCATTGCACAAACACAGCTTCTGCACTTGAGGCTTTGTTCTGGTTGCTCCATCTTAAGAAAGAGATGAACTGACGAAAGTAACTAAAGTAGTGAAGAGGGCTAGTGTGTCTTTTCTGCAGATACACACTACAGAATGGGTGCAGGGTATTAATAAGATGTGTAAGCCAAAATGTAAATATGTTAAGGAAATTTTTACACAGTTTAATGCATGATAGACCCATAAAGAATTACTATATTTGAATATTGTGAGGATTCAAATCCTACTATTTCACCATCGGTTTTTCTTTTTGCCTGTTAGAGGTGGTCAACACCACTTTTAATAGACTGCTTCAGGAACTGAACTATAGATGGTCCCTGCTTCTAGCCACAATATACTTTTAGATACTTTGTTTTTAAAAAATCCTGTAGGATGAAATCCTAATTGAATGTGAACTCTATCCTGGCTGAATATTTATTCATTCAGCAAGTATTAATTGGGTTCCCCTTATGTGCCTGAAACACAGGAGTTAATGGGTAGACAAGGTCCCTGCTGTCTGGAAGCTTACGTTCTTATGAGGGAGGATAAACAATAAACAAGTAAACAAAAATTAGCAAAACAGTTTCAGATAGATCGTAATGCTATGAAGAAAATAAAAGTTGGTATGCTGGAGAGTGCTAAGGTAGGAATGGAGGAAGAAAGATTGGAGGGCAGTCCCTGGAAAGCCTCCCTGAGGGGCCACTGTTTGAGCTGAAACTGAAGAAGAGTCACCCCATGCAGGCCTGTGAGAGGTAATAGCATGTGACTGCAGAACAACACAGTAGTTAACATTGCAGGCGCTGGAGTCAAATCCCAGCTCTACTACTTACTAGCTTCATCTATAATGATGTAATACCTACTCTGAGTGTGGCTATGTAAGAATGAATAGATGTAGAGCATTTAGGGAAGTGCCCAGATATCATGATTATTATCATCAACTGGAGACAACATTTTCCAGAGTACAGTTGTGTAAAGGCCCAAAGGCAGGAAGGCATCTTGTGTGTTCATGGACAAAGAGGGTGTCCTGAGCCTGGAGCTGAGTGAGTAGGAGGGAAAGAGGCAGGAGATAAGGTCAGAGAGGTAGGCAGGGGACAGATGAGTAAGGCCCATGGACCAAGGTAAATTCTGGATTTTATTCTAAGGGCAATGGGAAACCATTAACAAAGGAGTGACATGGTCTGATTTGCATTTTCAAAACTTTTTTTGGCTGTAGAACAGAGAATGAATTTGGAGGAGGAGAAGTAGTTCGGAAGCAAGCAGATCAGATGGAAAGAGACGGTGTTGGCTTGGATAGGGTGAAGAGAATGAAGGTGAAGAGAACCAGATGGACTTGGGATGTGCTTTGGAGATAGACCTGAAAAGTCTTGCCGATGGATTGGAGTGTGGAGGGAGAATGAAAAGCTGTGTATGTTGCTGTTGCTTTGGACCATGTGGATGCATTCAGTATGATTAATAGAAACCATTGGTGAGCAGTTTAAAGACTGATACTTATTAGGCAACACATTAATCTGAAAAGCAGGAGAATGTTTTATGAGGTGTTAAGAAGAGACTAGTGCCTGCTGTAAATATACCTTCCTTGATCAATCAGACTCGGATGGAAGTTATTAAGGATTATCATCTTCTATAAAACAATTACAAACATAACTCTTTTATTAGTAGTTGCACTAAGGACCAAATAATAAAATGTTAATAAAATTATCAGCCACTAAAGGATCTACTCTTGATACATTTAAAAAAAATAATAGATAGCTCAGAGCATCAAAAAGCTAGAGCTGGTTGAGAAACATGGGCGGTCAGGAAGAACAGGCATTGTTTACTTGACAGGGCAACTATACCGCATCAATGCATCAACGCATCAACGGAAGAGAGGATATTGTGTATCTAGCCTGTCTGGAGTGAACCTGTTGCTGTAGGTACCTCTATTCTCACATATCTCTCGTACTCACAAAGCAACATTCTGAACTTGGTTTGATTTCTCAAGTAGACTGTCTTGCTAGAAAAAATCTTTTTCTCTTAAAAATAACTCCATTACAAGTCAGTCTTTTTAGAGTATAAGCACCATGAGCCAGTTTCCCTAGGACCTGCTCACCTATAATTCATGGGATACCAAATCTCAGAATAGACAAAAGTAACAAGAACATTGTGAGTTTTTCTGATCAGTCTAACATTCCATTCCCACATTGTCAAGGAACAAACACTGAAATAGATGAATGAAGGGTATTTTTTGTGTTCAGACTTAAATTCATACCCTTGCCTGTCTTTAGCACCTTCTCCGGCTCTGTGTACAGACTACTGTTGACCCTTGAACAACACAAGGGTTAGGGGTGGTGACCCCTAAGCAGTGGAAAATCCATGTATAATTTATGGTAGGTCCTCCATATACACGATTCCTCTGTATCCTTGGTTCCTCATTTTCAGATTCAACAACCATGAATCATGTACAACTGTAGTATTTACTATTGGAAAAAAATCTGCGTGTAAGTGGGCCTGCATGGTTCAAACCCATGTTGTTCAACAGTCAACTGTACATGTATCTGGGTCAACTGTTAGCTTCAACTATTAGGCAATCACCTTATTTTAAATGGAGTACATCTCTCATGAGGAAATCTGTCCTTTATTTCTAGCTTATTTATATCTGTTTATATTTGTCCATATTTACAGTTAGCAGACAGCAGTGGTGTCTAGTTTTTAGTGCAGGATCAAAAGAACAAAAATAAAAAAACATGTGATACCATAGACCCTGGTTCCTTTCTGATTTTTTCTAGCTTTCCTGTTGCCATTCTAGTCTTCCCTGAATTACTACAGAATTCTCTCTCTCTCTCTCTTTTTTTTTTTTTAACATCTTTATTGGAGTATAATTGCTTTACAATGGTGTGTTAGTTTCTGCTTTATAACAAAGTGAATCAGCTATACATATACATATATCCCCATATCTCTTCCCTCTTGCGTTCTCTCTCTCTTTTTTTTTTCAGGAGTCTCTTAATTGTTCTCATGGTTCCCACTTCTCTGCGCTCTTAAAATAGCCAAGGTGATCTTAAAAAATGCAGATCACTCCCATGCTTAAAACCCTTCAATGGACTTCTGGTTTACTTGGAATAAAGTCCAAACCCCTTAGTTAACAAGGCCCCACAACTTTCTCTACAACCTCATCTCCTACACTCTCCCCCTTGCTCACTCATCGTCAGCCATTTGGCCTCCTCTGTGATCCTAGAAGAGGCTTCCTTTCCTACTGTAGAGCCTTTGCATTGATGTTTCTTCTGCTGGGGTGCCCTGCTCTCCCCTAGCTCTGCACATGGCTGACCTCTCTCATCAATGAGGCTCAGCTCAAACATCACCTCTTTAGTAAGGCCTTCCTTGGCCCTTCCAAACCAAATCACCACCTCTCCCTTCTGTACTCTGTCACAGCATCTGCTTCATATTGTTCACAGCTCTTATTACTACCTGAAATTATTTTATTTGTTTACTTGTTTATTGACCATTTCTCCCACCAGTCTGTGTTTTCCAGAAAAACAGGGACCTTTTCTGTCATGTTCACCATAGTGACTCCACTGCCTGACACAAAGTAGACATTCAATAAATATCCTTATCATGAATGAATGGTTTCTTAACTAGTTCCACTGTTATTTACCTAAGCTGGGTCAGACACTTGACTCTGTGCTTTAGCTTCTCCAGCTTTAAGATGGTAACAAGAGATTATGCCATCTAACTCATTTTCAGCATGGAGGAGAAAAAGTGTTATCTTTATATCTGGAAATATTACTCCTGAATAATGTAATGCTATAAAACAAGTATGTAGGAGGTATAGTAGGTATACAATGAAAGTGTTCCTTACTTATTATCAGATAAGATTCTGGATTTTTTAAAAATAATTTCTTTCTCTATTCCCTTTGCTATTTCTAGAAAGTGACTGAGATATACCAGTTCAAATTCAAATACACAAAAGAAGGAGCCACTATGGATTTTGACAGGTAGAATCTAATTGTTTAATGAACATGAGAAATATGTAGGATTGAGGTAAACATAAGCTTCTTGAGGCCAGAGATAGGTCTTATACTTCCTTTGTAACTTCCCCAACAATCTCACAAAAACCACTATTATGAAAAGGGACTGTAAAAATTGTCTAAATTTCTGAAATCCATAGATGAAGCCAGTAGGAGAAGAGGCTTCCTTTGCTTCTTTCCTTCTTCTCCTATAGGTGATATTAGTAGGGTCTAAAGGCAATTTAGTGGTTAAGAGTTCTAATTCCTAAGGCAGAAAGATCTAGCTTGGAACCCCAGCTCTGACTATTACTGGTCATTTAACTTTGGACAGAATAATAAACCTCCCTAAATATTAGTATTCTCATCTGCAGAGTGGAATTAATAATATCTACTTCATATGGTTGCTGTGATTATTAAATTATATACAAAGCTTTACCCGTGCCTGGCACATAATAAACACACAGTAAATTGTACCTAGTGGTGGGGATGGTGGTGGTCTTTGGAGGCAATGGTGGTTTGGTGGGTGGCACAGCAGTAGAAATTATATTAATGAGGCTGTCTATGTGGTGTTGATTGAAGAACTCCATGAGGCTCTATCTAGCCACTAATTCAAAGTTTCTCAATTGCTATGCCAAGATATTAACCCTTTCTACCCTCAATATAGCCAGATCAGGACTGGGGTAGATGAAACCCCTGTGCTATTTACATATAGACACAAATATTCTCATCTGTTTACCCCAGTATGTCATACAAATATAATTATCTATGTGTCCCTGTATGGAAAAGACTGGAAAGCACCGCATTTTCCTATCAAGTCTGAAATTCCAAGTTTTAGATATACTAATGGGTTAAATAGCAAGGACAAGGACATTTACTTCAGAAGGTCCTTAGTAAAGATGGAGATGTTTTGTTGAGGAGCAACATTTATTCCCCTCCCAGTAGCTTTTGGATTCAGATAGAGCTAAGTATTGCTGATGAGACGGAACAGAAGTGGGGAGGGTGGATGATGGAGAAAAGCCTTGGGTGGTAGAAAGCTGCACCTCAGGGGGATGAGTTTCTCTGAAAGGAATAACACTGAAGAGAAATGTGGCCTAATTCTCAATTTTCCATACTATTAGTTCTGTCTCATCATTTATTATTACAAGTTTAATGACTTCTCTCCAAGATTCACACCCTTAATTATCTTCTCATTTGTAAAATATATGGACAGCATTAGGATGTGAAGTGGAAGTAAGTTCTAGGAACAAAAATTAAGGTACTAACCATCATTAGCTAACATCTGTATAACACTTTACAGATTGTTCAGCACTTTTCACACATATTCTCTCACATAAAACAGCTGTATTTTACTCTCTGTACAACTGACAAGCAGATTAATCTCTTTTGTTACGAAGGCACATATGTCTAGAGGTGAACAGTAAAACATAAATGGCCGAATCTGGGACTTCCCTGGTGGTCCAGTGGTTAAGACTCCGTGCTCCTAATGCAGGGGGACCGGGTTCGATCCCTGGTCAGGGAACTAGATCCCACATGCCGCAATTAAAAGTTCTCTCACACCGCAACGAAGATCCCGCGTGCTGCAACTAAGGCCCGGCAGAGCCAAATAAATAAATAAATATTTTAAAAAAGAAAAAAGAAGAAATGGTCAAATCTTTTACTAAGGGGAAGAGAAGGTAATGCATACGTGACCAAAGGTGGGCATTTGTTCAAGTGATTGTTCATACAAAATTACCTTATCACCTCTTCTATAGTAAAGAAAATTTTCCTTTTAAAAGAGTACAAGGGAGTCTTGAAAATGATTTTACATGAGTATGATTTTATGAATATGGTGTATACTGAAGGATCCCATGTGCTACATGGCAATAGCCCCTCCCTCTCATTACCTATTTCAAATTGGTTAAATCCTGGTAGACAAAACTTTAAGTTTTTCAAAACTGAAAAAGGAGCAAATGTGATTCCTTAATGTTTGTTTTATGAATTCACACTATCTCTAGTAGTTCAATTACTAAGGATTATTTTTCAGTATTGAGAAAGGCATTGTAAAAATATATTGCAGTCATAGTCCTTGGAAACTACTCAAATGTGAGACTAATTGGGGAAAAAATTTTGGAGAGAAATAAAAAATGTTTAGAGTTGGAAGGTAATTTAGTCCAACTTGTCCATTCATTCATTAATACAACAAATGTTTATTGAGTACTTAATATAGTTGGGCACTAAACTTAGTACAGTGGAGATGAAAAATATAGCCATTCATAGTCTGGAGGGAACATACAGTTACAAACAGGGGTGAGGTATAGGGATTACCAGGGAAGACTTCCCTGAAGAGATGACACATGAGATGGGTATTAAAGGATAAATTCGGTAGAGTCAGGAAAAGAAGTGGGAAAAGCACAGTACAAGCAAAGTGAACAGCACATACAAATGCACAGGAGTAAGAAGGAACTGGGTAGTAGTTGCAGATGAAGGTGGAGGTGAGTGTGTGGTTGGTTGTGAAAGGCATTGTACACACACTGTTCTCAAATTTGATTGAAAGTTGATGGATATAATAGAAGAAACTTAAGCAAGAGAATGAGATGAGTGGATTTTCCTATTAGGATATTATTTTGGTAGTAGTGTGGAGAATGTTTTGCAGTGTGGGCAAGAAGAAAAGCAGGAAGAATAGTCAGTCATTGTCATAATCCATGTAACAGTGAGAAGGGGATGCCTCTGAGAGATAACCAGATGGTACAAAGGCCCAGAGCTGATGATTGATTTAACTTGGAGAGGTATAGAAATGTGTGTAAGCTTATCTCACATAGGAGCTAACTGACATAGAGTGTCTAAGTGACTTGACCGGGGTCATTCAGCCAGTTAGCAGCAGAGCCAATATTAAATGTCAAGTCCATTGCTCTCACTATTATAGTATGCAGTTATTTGTAAATCAGATTTTTAAAAAATCAGGTCACATTGAAAATGTCTTAAAGGGAACTTGCTACTTAAGAAATCCTTTGTATATACATTGCAAAAAGTACAATAACTCCTCTAATTTACATTCTAAAATAGTCTCAAGAGTGTCCTGAGTTTATATTTATCTGATCATATAGTAAAAAGTTTTGTTCTTTTTAAAATAGATTTTCAGTATTATATGTTATTGAAAAGTATGCTGTTTTTCTATGTGGTTATAGCAGTAGCACAACCTTCGAAAGTGGGACAAACAGTGAAGATGTTAAGAAAGCCAGTGTTCTACTGATGCGTAAATTGTACATGATGATGCAGAACCTTGGACCCCTTCCTAATGATGTTATACTTACTATGAACCTCCACTACTATAATGCAGGTAGGTGAAGACCTCTAGTCAAATTCCTTCTTCAGTGGTGAAGTAAATGTTTTGGATAAATAGAAGGATTTTGGCAAGCATTTGAAAGAGATGTCTGTTGTTACACATGAAAGATTATGCTGACTTGTTCTCCTGAAACTCAACAGTTTTCTCGGTTTTCTGCCCTTTTCATTTTGCAGTGACCCCACATAACTACCATCCCCCTGGTTTTAAAGAAGGGGTAAACTCACACTTCCTGCTGTTCGAGGGGAACCCTGTAAACCTGCAAGCGGGATTGGTCTCCACTGGCTTTCACAGCATGAAATTAAAAGTCACAACTGAGGCCACCAGAGTGTCTGATTTGGAGGACAGAGTCTTTCAGGAGAGCAGCACTACAGAGATCGCCCATCAGGGTCTAGACTGTGATGAAGAGGAAGAGGAAGAGGAATGCAACAATCACGTAAGGCAAAGCTGTAGCGACCCTCCATTGCTTCAGTTAAACCCAGTTGACATTTTTCAGTTCATACACAGGTCATATCATAGTAACAGGATCCAATGGAGTGTGCCGGGTGTAAAAACTGAAACAAAACTAGCCCCTAACCTCGAGTCTTTATTCTAAAAAAGCACTATCTTCGAGAAGGAAATATACTCTGTTAGATGAAGTGGTCCATGGCTAGGAGAAAAAAAGACTTTCTAATATACTTCTTTTTATAAAAGGTACCCATGAATTTAGGAAATTTTGGATTTTCTATAACTTATAAGAGCATATTAAACATATTTTAAAATATTATAGGTGTTTATTCATACTCACTGCAAGTATAAGTAAGTTCTTGATTACTGGGGTAGAAAAGTGTTATGGATAAACTTAAGTCAGAGTGCATTCATTTTCACTGCTGTAGATTATTCTACTCTTGACAGACATTCTTTCTTCCTCTGCAATTGTTATAAACATTCATGTATACACCTCCTCGTACACATATGCAAGAGTGTCTCCAGGGAATATACCAAAGAGTTCTAGGGCTTGCACATTTTCAACTTTATTAGGTAATGAAAAACTGTTCTCTAAAATGGTTGTACCAATTTATGCTCCACCAAAAGTGGAGGGAGTGCTGTACATTATTGTCAATACTTTTTTTTTTAAGTAATACTTTAAATTTTATTTATTTAGTTATTTATGGCTGCATTGGGTCTTCGTTGCTGTGCGCGGGCTTTCTCTAGTTGCAGCGAGCGGGGCTACTCTTTGCTGGTGCGCGGGCTTCTCATTGCGGTGGCTTCTCTTATTGTGGAGCACAGGCTATAGACACGCGGGTTCAGTAGTTATGACTTGCGAGCTCTAGAGCGCAGGCTTAGTAGTTGTGGCGCATGGGCTTAGTTTCTCTGCGGCATGTGGGATCTTCGTGGACCGGGGCTCGAACCCATGTCCCCTGCATTGGCAGGCAGATTCTTAACCACTGCGCCACCAGGGAAGTCCCCTTGTCAATACTTAATTTTACCCAAGTTTATGTTTTCTGCCTAACTCCTGGATGTAAATGGTAATGCTTCATGATTTGATTTTGATTTGCATTTCCCTGATTATTAATGAGTTTAAGTATCTTTTCATGTATATTGGCGGTTCTGGTTTTCTTATGTATAAAGTAACTGTTCAAGTCTTTCATGCATTTTTCTATTGGATTATTTATCTTTTCCTCATTGATTTAAAAATATGTTCTGAATAGTAATTATTTTTCATTATTTATGTTGCAATTTTTTTTCAGGTTTGTGGCTTGTCTCTTCACTTTCTTTAAGATGTTTTTTGCTAAAGAGAAGTTCTTAATTTTAATGTAGTCAACTCTTTTCCTCTAATATGTGCTTTTGGATATTAAGAAATTCTTCCTTATCTGAGTTCCATTTTTAATATTCTCCTCTATTTTGTTATAAAAAATTTAAGGTTTTTCTTTTTACATTTTTATTCCACTTGGAGTTTATTTTTATTTGTGGGGTAAGGTAGACCAGACCCCTTTTACATTTTAAAATCCAAGTATAATAAACATACAGAAAAATACATATATCATAGTGATACAGCTCAATAAATATTCACAAACTGAACACCAGGGCTGGGATGAGAGTGAGGCAAACAAGGTAAGAGTGAGTACCACCTTAAATATTACTTCCTAGGTATCTTGTTTGCCTCACCCCATTCCAGCCCTAATGAATACACATGTGAAATCAGCACCCAGATCAAGAAACAAAATACTACCAGCACCTTGAGAAAACTCAGTCTTACTTTGCAGTCACTGTTCTACACAACAGGAGTATCTCTATCCTGGCTTCTATTAGCATAGATTAGTTTCTCTTGTTTTTTATTTTATAGATGTGGAATCATGGAGGATGAAACATTTTTTCACTGCTTTGAACATTCCGAACATGTTTTTTAGTGAAATATATACACATTTCTGGAGGGAATAGATTTACTAGGAGTAGAATTGCTGGGTCACAGGATATGAGTACATTTAGCTTCAACAGATACTACAAAGCAATTTCCAAAGTGCTTGTGCCAATTTACACTTCCATCAGCAAGTTTTGGTTGCTCCACATCCTCACCAAATGTTGGCATTTTCCATCTTTTTAATTTTAGCCATTCTGGTGGGTGTGTAGTGGTAGGTCATTGTGGTTTTAATTTGTAGTTTCCTGATGACTAATGAAGATGAGCACCTTTTCACATGTTTATTGGCCATGTTGGATGTCCTCTTTCGTGAAATGTCTTTTCAAGTCATTTGTCATTTTTCTATTGGGTTCTGTTGGGTTTGTCTTTCATTCTTAGGGATTTGTAGGAGTTCTGAATATATATTCCACATATAAGTCCTTTGTCAGATACATGTATTGTGAATATCTCTTCAACTTTCTAACTTGCCTTTTTACTCTTTTAACGGTGTATTGTGATGAACAGAATATTAATTTTAATATAGTTCAACTTATCAATCTTTTCGGCTATCTTCGGCAGTTTTTATTTAAAAATTTTTATCCACTCTAAAGTTTACAGAGATGTACTCTGTTTTTCTCTAACAAGGAGAAATAGCTGCAGAAACAGAAGTGATTTTTAAAATTATAAGATACCTCCATGAATAACATCATACCAAAAATATAAATAACTGACCTTTCTCTCCCCTATCTTCAAGTATTTATATATTTTGGTGTGACGTTATTCATGGAGGTCTCATAATTTTAAAAATTGCTTCTGCTTCTGTAGTTATTTCCCTGTTTTTATATCTGGTATTTATTTGTGCCCCATTCATTTTTCTTGGTTAGATTGGCCCCAAATCAGTATTTTTTATTACTCTTTTCAAAGTCATCTTTTTTTTTTTTTTTTTTTTTTGTGGTACGCAGGCCTCTCACTGTTGTGGCCTCTCCCGCTGCGGAGCACAGGATCCGGACGCGCAGGCCCAGCAGCCATGGCTCACGGGCCCAGCCACTCTGCGGCATGTGGGATCCTCCTGTACCGGGGCAAGAACCCGTGTACCCTGCATCGGCAGGCGGACTCTCAACCACTGCGCCACCAGGGAAGCCCTCAAAGTCATGTTTTAGTTGTACTGATCTCTTCTGTTGCTTTGTTTTTCTATTTTGCTCATGTTTTGTTTTTATCTTTGCCTTCTTCTATTTCTCTGGTTTGGTTTTGTCTCCCTTATTCCAAACTGATCTCTCCATCAATATATAGACATATATATTCTACGAGTACCTCGAATTCAGTATCAAATGGAATTTCAACTTCTTACCAAACATGCTCTTCTTCCTCCCAGGTTCCTTATCTTTGTATTTCATTAAAACTTTACCAAGCAACCTGACCAGGAATGTGTTCAACTCCTATTTTCTTCTCACTTTTCACAGCCTTTTGGTTGCCATTTCTGTCTGTTTTGTGTCTGAAATACTTCTCCAGTCTGGCCCTATTGCCATTGTACTGATTCAGGCTGTCATCATTGCTTTCTTGGTGAAAGACAGCTGAGCCTCCTAACTGAGTCTCCCTGATGTCAGCATTGCCCCTCTAATTTGTCTTCCAGAGTGCCAGAGAGTGAGGGTACTAAAACTATGATGATCATTTTCAAATATTTCAAGTTGATTTATTTTGTGTAATTTCAAAGGTCAGAATGAGAACCAGAAAATGAAAATTACATTGGCTGGGTGAGGTGTGCAGAGGTTGATTTTGGCTCAAGAGAAGGAAGAACTTTCTCTTAAAAAAAATTTTAAAGCAATATCATAATGATATTAAAGTAATTTAAAAAGCAGTGCAAATCTTCCAGCTGTCCTACCATCCCATCCCATCACTACTGTTTTCTTTCCTTTTTTTTTTTTTTTTTTTTTTTGCCACACCATGGCATGTGGGATCTTAGTTCCCCAACCAGGGATCAAATCTGTGCCCCCTGCAGTGGAAGCACAGAGTCTTAACCGCTGGACTGCCAGGGAAATCCCTGTTTTCATTTTTATATTTTCCGTCCCATCTAGTCTTTTTTCACAGATATACATATTTATACACGATTTTAATCATGGTATAAATATAAATTTGTTTTATTGATAATTTTATACTTAATATTAATTTTATAACTATGTCCTACCTTACTCTTCATATTTTTAATTTTAATGAACTTTTTTTTCCATTTAGGTATTATACCATTTTCCTACATTAAATATTTAAGTTAATTCCTGATTTTACTACTGTAAATGGTGTTGTAATAAATACCTTTGTATGTATGGCAGAATATTCCCTTATTTTCTAAGGGTATAGTATCAGGAGTGAAATTTACAGAGCCTGAAAATTTGTATAGCTCTCAAATGAGTATTATCATTTTCCAGAAGCTTCCAGCTTCTCTACCTCCTCAGGATGGATTTTCTAAAAAAGACAACTACTTGATAAAACTGACTGTCTTGAGAAGGGTGAACGCTTTGTCGACAGCTGTGTTCAAGTACAGGTATATACTATGTTCAAGATAGAGTATAGATGATTGTCTCTAGGGTGTTGCAAGAGAAAATCATGATTTAGGGGGAAGGTTGAACTAGACTGACCTCTGAGGTCCCTTCCATGCTAAGATTCCCTGGGTTATATTTTGAATTCCTATTAAGAGAATAATGCCCTACTAAGCACTGTGAGGAAAATTAAGACATATAAAATATAGTTTCTACCTTTGAGAACTTTAGCTGAAGAGACAATATCTACATGATATAAAGAAAAATAATACTGGAGAGTATATGAATGATAGAAATAATATTAACTAACAATACTGAGAATGATACTCAGGGCTTCACATGTATTATCACTTTAAATCTTCCCAGCTATTTTATGAGGTAGATTCTATTATTATCCTGATTTTACAAAGGAGAAAACTGAAACTTAGAGAAATTAGCCCAAGGCTACAGATACAGTGAATAAGTAGCAGTGCCAGAATTCAAATCAAGGCAGTTGGACTCCAAAGCCTGTGCTCTTAGGATACAGAA